AGAGAGAGAGAGAGAGAAAGAGAGGGAGACCGACCTGTGGTGCAGTAAAACGAGAAGCCCACATTGATTAATATCAGGCTTCTCAACTTTAGCATTTGACATTTTGGGCCCGCGTAATTCTTCGTTGTGGTGTGAGGAAACTGCACGGTAGGATGTTCAGCAGCCCCCTGGCCTTCATCTACTCAATGCCAGTAGCAACCTTGCCTACCCCAACTTGTGACAAACCAGAATGTCTCCAGACCCAGACACTGTCCAATGTCCCTGGGGAAGGGCGAGCAAAATTGCCCCTAAATGAGAACCTCTGGTTTATACTGATTGTCCCATCAACAAGGATGAGCGCTTTCTTCTCCAGGCTACCAAGTGAAGAAATGACTGCAGAAAACAAAAATGACGACAGATGTGGTGTCTGTGGATAGAGGGGGATGCTAGCTCCAAGAGAGGGAGATCGAGGTCTCACCCTTGAGAAAACAGTAACCTCCTTGGGCACATTACTAACCCCATCCTAAACACCTACACATCTAAAAGAGAAAAATCTCTCTCGAGGAAGCAGGGAAAAAGAACTTTCGGAAACGCAGACCGTTTCGGAAATGGCGACCACTAGGGGGCGGTAAGTGAACAGCGATCCCACCTCCTGGAGCCCGGAGTGTGGAAGGAATGCACCGCGTCATATGCAAACAGATGGCCCTGGAAGGCCCTTTCCACTTAGGTGGGCAAGTGGATAGAGCTCTGGGTCACATGGCAGCTGCGGGAGGGGTTCAGGCAGGATGCCACATGTATTCAACAGGATCCCAGGGAAAATGACAAATTCCTCCACTGCAAGAAGTGGGATGGAGTTTTTGGTCATGTCTTTCATTCTGTTATGAAAAATAAACCAAAATTGCTTGTGGTCATTTCAGATGAAATGATGCTACTTCAGGACCAGAGAGGGAAAGCCTCATCTGCTCATTGTCCACGTCTGTGAACTATGGAAAGGGGCTCAGTGTTCTGTGAACATACCCGCGGGAAACTTCCTACAGCTATTGCATTCTTGACAGGAAGAGATTGTGCCACCCCACTGAAGGGCTCTAAATATGGTAACTTCGTGTGGAAAAGTTCTTTTCCATTGCATAACCAAACAGAATGACTTCCTGCATTGACTGGACACAGTGTCCAGTCCTGCAAAGCTTTGCTGGAAGAGCTAAGACACAAATATTATCCTGGTTCCGTTAACAACCAACATGTCTGTCAGTGTGTAATTAATACTGCAAGGGACTGTCAGCTGACTCAAAGTCAGCCTGCCTAGAATTCTGTTTTCATCTCTTCTATACAATATACCTCTTGGATTTCACAACCTTGCACACAGAGGCTCTTAAACTTCACAGCTTTGTGGAATATACAGAAATGTATATTGATACGATGGTACACAACAATGTCACTTCTATGCAAATGTTTATGATACCTATTTTAGATAAAACATTAAAATTCAAATTTATTAATTCAAAAATGTAAGAGAGACATGGGGCTAAAATGAATGCTGGAAATACATTTTTGACATGGTAATCAATATGACTTTTGAAATACCAGCTTCGCTCCACAGAATGTCAGATATTCATAGATGTTACAGTTTATAGCATTCTATTTGTTTAAGTTGCTTTTCATCCTAGTGTTGTTAAAAAGAAGCATCCAGTTTGTTGGAATATATTTCACCTGACTATTATTAGAAGACCAATTATTATTTTCATGTAGAAATTATCTAGACCCAATTTCTTTTCATAGTTTTATTTTTTATTTTTAGACAAAGTCTATCTCTGTCACCCAGGCTGGAGTGCAGTGGCCCGATCTTAGCTCACTGCAACCTCCGTCTCCCGGGTTCAAGTGATTCTCTTGCCTCAGCCTCCTGAGTAGCTGGGATTACAGGTGCCCGCCACTATGCCCAGCTAATTTTTGTATTTTCAATACAGATGGGGATTCGCCATGTTGGCCAGACTGGTCTCTAACTCCTGACCTCAAGTGATCCACCCACCTCGGCCTCCCAAAGTGCTGGGATTATAGGTGTGAACCACTGTGCCCGGCCCATCTCGTCATAGTTTTAGACCCAAATTTAATCTCTCTGCCTTCTGAATGGCTCGCCAGTAATTCAACCTAACATGAGTTGAATATAAGTCTCCACAAGGAGGCTTATATTCTAGTGCTTGGAAGAAGAAGGACAAGGAGGAAAAGGAGAACGAGGAGGGAGAGGGGAAGGAAAGAGGGATATTGCTGTTCTGGTATTCCAGAGTTGAAATTCCTGGCTTTTAAAAAATAAGCTCTTTTTAAAAATCAACGCATACTAGTTGTGAGTTTTGAGGTACATGTGATAATTTAGTACACATAATTTGTACAGATCAAATCAGTGTACTTGGGATATCCGTCACCTTAAATATTTGTCTTTTTTTCATGCTAGAAACATTCTAGTTCTTCTCTTCTAGCTATTTCCAGCTGTCTTTTATAACCTGCTCTCTTGTCATTCAGATCTAGCCATCCAATCAGTTAATCTGCTTTATACCTTATAGAAGGAAAATTTACACTACCATTATTAAAAGGATATATATGTATATAGTTATTTTTAATTGCTTTTTTTTTTTTTAAACAGGGTTTTGCTCTGTTACCCAGGCTGGGATGCAGTGGTGTGATCATGCAGCCTTGACCTGCCAGGCTCAAGCCATCCTCCTACCTCAGCCTCCTGAGTAGCTGGGACCACAGGTGTGTGCCACCATGCCCGGCTAGGGTTTAGTTTTTATTTTTAATTTTTATTTTGTAGACATGGGGTCTCCCTATGTTCCTATGTTGCCCAGGCTGGTCTTGAATTCCTGGGCTCAAGCGATCTTCCCACTTCAGCCTCCGAAAGTGCTGGGGTTGCAGGCAAGAGCCACTGTGCCCAGCCAAAAGGATATATATTTCAAAAGGTGTTTTAAAGAAAAATTTTGAGAGCTAGTCGTAGGTGGTGAATACCATAGGACGTTTTGCATTTGACTTCATTCTTACTTTCACTGCTTGGTTCAGGCCTCATTGCCTTTTGCCTGACGGAGACAGTAGCTTCCCATATGGTCTCCTAGTCACTGATCTATTTTCCCCTCAATCAGTCCCGCACATGATCACCAGAGGGACCTCGCTCCAATACAACTCTAGCTTTGCTACTTCCTTGACCAAAAACAAAAACCAAAAAAACCCAAACACTCAGTGTCTTCCTCATCGTTCTAGGCAGTAACTCTCAAATGTGAAGGTGCTTCAGAATCACCAGCTTTGTTTGTAAACTGCAGATTCCTAAGCTCCATCCACAGAAATTGTGAATCCGGGGTTGAACCCCAGAACTTTCAAGAAAAGCCAGAAATCCAGATTTCTCTTAAAGAATCTTCCAATCTCTGTAGGCACAGCCCAGACAGGCATCAAGCAGGTACGTGAGGCCTTGAGTATGGTCTAAGATACAGGAAGTCAGTGTGCAAATGGAATGGCACTCCCCAAATATGGGATGTGTATCTTGCACCCAACTCTCCTGCCTAACTGGACTGCTACCCAGTTCTCCAAAGACATCTTGCATTTTCCAGGCCAGAAACTTGTTGGTTTGCAGGGTTCTACTGCCCGGAAGTCCTTCCCTGTCTAGCCTCTCCTGATGCAATCTCCCCATCTTCGAGGCCATCTCAGTTGAGTTTAACCATTTCTTTCTTTTTTTAGAGATTGGGTCTTGCTCCAATATCCATGCTGGAATGCAGTGGCGCAGTCATAGCTCAATGCAGACTTGAACTCCTGGGCTCAAGCGATCTTCCTGCTTCAGCCTCCTGAGTAGCTGAGATTACAGGTGCATGACACCACACCCAGCTGATTTTTTATTTTTAGTAGAGACAGGGTTCTGCTATGTTGCCCAGGCTGTTCTTGAATTCCCGGTCCCAAGTGATCCTCCCACCTCAGCCTCCCAAACTGCTGGGACTATACGTGTGAACCATTGTGCCCAGCCTAACAAACCATTTCTGAAACTACTATGTGCTAGATACTGTGTGTGGCCTGTAGGTCATACAAAGAATGACTTCATTCAGGTTAAGTCTTCCTGATCCCTGGGTTAGTCTCTCTTTTGTGTGGGTAAAACTGGTACCTGTAAATCCCGTGTTTGGGGCTATACTCCTATTTATCAGGTTGGCTTTGCTAGACTGAAGATTCTTAAGGGCTCTTTGCATATCTTACTCATCTGTGGCCTTCCCACAAATCCAACCAGATAAAGCCTTCTTATGATATGTTCGTTCCATTACTTTTTCTATCTCATTCCTATGCTAGGCTGTAATCTCAGAGTATTATTGAGATTAAAGATGACTTTTCTGGCCAGAAGTGATAATTATTTCAGCTAACCAATAAACACAATTTTTTTAAAAAAGAAATTTACTGACCAGGCACAGTGACTCACGCCTGTAATCCCAACACTCTGGGAGGCTGAGGCAGGTGGATCACCTGAGGTCAGGAGTTTGAGACCAGCCTGACCAATATGGTAAAACCCTGACTTTATTAAAAATACAAAAATTAGCCAGGTGTTATGGCGTGCACCTGTAATCCCAGCTACTCAGGAGTCTGACATAGGAGAATTGCTTGAACCCAGGAGGCGGAGGTTGCAGTGAGCTGAGATCATGCCACTGCACTCCAGCCTGGGCAACAGAGCAAGACTCCATCTCAAAAAAAATTTTTTTTCATAATTTTGTTGGAAAATTTATATAAACGTTATTAAAAGGATATATGTTTTTATTTTTATTTTTACTATTATTTTTTGAGACGGAGTTCTGCTCTGTCACCTAGGCTGGAGTGCAGTGGCACAATCTCAGCTCACTGCAACCTCCCCCTCCTGGGTTCAAGCAATTCTCTTGCCTCAGCCTCCTGAGTAGCTGGACTATAGGCATACACCACCATGGCCAGCTATGTTTCTTTGTATTTTTAGTAGAGACAGGGTTTCTCAATGTTGGCCAGGCTGGTCTCGAACTCCTGACCTCAGGTGATCCGGCTGCCTTGGCCTCCCAAAGTGCTGGGATTACAGGTATGAGCCACTGTGCCCAGCCAGGATATGCATTTTAAAAGAAGTTTTAAAGAAGAATCTGGAGACCTAGTTTTAGATAATTGGGCTGTCACAAAAACATTTCAGACAAATAACAGCCTTACCAACTCATGGTGGGTGATTAACTCTGCCTATAAATGTGTGAACTAAGTAGAATTTTGGAAGCTATTTTGAGATGTGGATGAACAGTGGCCTGATTTAATTTATTAGGAAAAGAATAACTCAAATTGAAGTTTTTTTTTTTTTTTTTTTCTCCCCTCTAGACTGCTGAGAGGGACACTCTAATTTTAATCAAACACATTAGGTTGGTATCCAGGGCGATATGAGCCACAGCTCCAACAGGAGATAGGTGATTGAACACAATGCTTTCCATCATGGAAACCTCTTCTCATTATGGCCATGAGAAGAGTTTGCAAATTGTTCCCTTGCAATCCCAATTTGAGAGATTTAAGTTTTCCAAGAAACAAGAGAATTATCAACACTGGAGAAACCCCTCAAAATTACTATTCATTATACTAAAAGGTGAGATAGTTCTATGATAAATCTTCATTGCATACCAAAATATACAATTACCATAAAAGATGTGCCTGCCTGCTGATGGGGGAGTAATAAAATTCTGCTCATTTCAATAGTAGGAATTGATAGATGCTTTCAATAAGAATCTTAAATAACATTCATAACAGCTAAGGAAGCATCTTTCATTCGGGATCAGATACCCTTTACATTTAAATTCTTCTTTTGCGATTTTAACTACAGTTGAATAATAGGAAGATAATTTTAGTGCTGTGTTATTTTGCCTATTAGTTTTAATTTATTGAGATGAAATATAGCCTTCCTATTTGTCACTGGGTTTTGCCATTTACTCCTTTTAATTTTGTGTATTGCTGAGCCCTGGAGGAGAGAGTATGAAGCTGCAACTCTCTCTCTCTGTTCTTTTTTTTTTTTTTTTTTTTAAGATAGGATCTCCCTATGTTATCCAGGCTGGTCTCGAACTCCTGGACTCTAGCAATCCTCCCGCCTCAGCCTCGCGAGTAACTGGGACTACAGGTGTGAACTACCATGCCCAGCAATGCTGCAGCTTTTAAAGAAATGCAGTCACCTGAGGACCACTGAATTTCCTGGGCCTCCATGGAAAGGTGCTGAAGTGTCCACATATACCACCATCAGCAGAACTCTAACTTATACACAGTAGGTGCTCAATAAAGAGAGGGCAACTGGGAAGGACCTCCTTCTTAGCAACGATAATTTTCCTTTGCAGGTGAAACAGCTCAACATGCAAGTGACTGGCACTCACCACAACTTCTTGATGATCCTCTCTTCCTCATGAAGATATTTTTGTCTCTCTTGCTCCACCAGGACGCGCTGTCGCTGCACAGGATCCTCCAGTCTCTTCATTGTTTCTATCACTTTGCCACTGATTTCCAGCTCGGCCTTCTTCATCATCGCCCTCAGCAGTTCCTGGTTCTGCAGCTGTGAACACAGAAAATCAACTTCAGTGGGCTCTGCCTGCATGAAATGGAGGTGAGTAAATGCCTTGAAGTCTTCAGAACACTTTGGGTAGACAGCCCTGTGGCTGAATCTTTACTTATTTCAGTGAGAAACGAAAGGGAGCAAAGACTGTACATAATGTGGCTTCTTCCACCAACATCTGAATTTTGGCAGCCAACTGACAACCAGACTGCCTGCAAGACAAAGGATCCTTTTTCTACTCTGGTCAATGCATCACGGACAACAGGCATAAACTCTCATTGACGTATCTTTACAGGGAGCACCACAGGGCACCTGCTTGGGAGCCAAGAAGACTTTGGGTCAAATCGCATACTCTCTCCCTAGCCCACTGTGAGACTTTGGGCCCATTACTTAGACTCCCTTGGTCTTCGTTTCCTTACCTCTAAGGATGGGGAATCCACTTTCCTTGGCCATTCTTGAGGGCTACATGAAATACCACATGGTATAGAACGGGAACTCAACACATGGTGATTTGGCTATGAAATATATCAGTATCAGTTCAAAGAGGGTCCGTGTCCTTCTCATTCATATGATTCCACGTACCACGTACCACAAAATCACAGACCCTTAAAACATAGGACTTTAATGTTGGCAATGATAATGATTCTAGATGAGTCCAGGGTTCTTGGCAATTTATGAACTTCTCTAGATTGGAGGTAGGCTACCTGTATACAGAAGCTCACAATTTCCAAACAGTTTCCAGAACAATTCCAGCAGATCCATCAAGTGAATTCATTCAATCAGCCTCCACAACAATAATGATATTATGCCTAGTATATCATCCCTAAAGTTCCACTGAAATATCATTTAACAAATTTCAATGGTTTCCTTTGTTTTC